CCGCGACACGTGCAGCGGGGTTCTCTTCGCGCCCCTGCGCGTGGCCGAGGCTACCTGGCAAACAGCGCGCGCTCGGACGGTTCCCAGCGGAGGCCATTCGGACGCGGTGGCCTTGCAGAATTGCGGGGCACCCTGGGTCCCCGCCCCGCGCGGCGCGTCTCGTCGACCACTCCCCCCCTGCACGGCAGAAAGACGGGCTGGCAGGGTGAGAGCACCCACCCCGAGTGCGCCGAGTGCAGATGGGCTGGGCAGCCGCGGCCAGAGAGCTCACCGAAGCGGAGATAGCGTCGGGGCTGAGGTGCTTCATGGGCAAACGAGGCACACGCTGAGAGCACTGAAGGGCAAGCTCGTAAGATCTACCCGAACATACCGTCGCTGTGTTGAGAGCACCGATGGTCACACAATGAGCTGGTAGGCACATCGGCGCTGTGCCGTGACCACGAAACAAAAGTTCCCGTCGAGAGCAGCCATTGCTCCAGGCGCAGCGAGGCCAAGACACGCGGCAGACAGGACCCAAGGGAGCCCCTTATTTTGCAGGGTCGGTCTGCTGGTCAGACCCGACTGCAGCACCCGACTCGTGGAGATCCCCTCTCGGCGCACGCGCTCCTGAACATCTGCATGGGCGCCTTCTCAGACCCAGACATCCGACGTCTCGATTTTTTCGAGACACGGGCCCCCAACCTCCCGACCACTTCCCCGGGGACGGGTCTTTCGTTTCGAGTCGTTCTTTGACGCTCCCGAGGCCCGGCGAGGGCCTCGAGAGGCCGAAAACCAAGAAAAACCTCCGTCTCGACTTTTCTCGAGACGCCCGCTGTCTGGGTCTGCATGCGCGCCTTCCCAGACACCCGCGCGCGTCTCCGCCTGGCCGCTGCGGTACGCGGGGCTGGCGAGGCGGGGCTCGCGAGGACCACTCGGGACCCGTTTTGGGGGGGCCGGCGGCCGCAGGAGTTCCGAGCTGGCGGCGGCAGCTTCCCGGGAAGCCCAGCGGCGCCGAGATGTCGGCTGGGGAGAACTCCGGCGGTGGACGAGCCTCCCTTTGGCAAACCACCCTTCCGTGAAGACGACCCAGGACCGAAACCGACGGACCCGGACCCGCAAAGAAAGGACGGCCGCGACGCCCTCCCGCGAAGCGACGACGGCCAGTTCACTCGTCGACGTGGCAGGGCAGGAGGTCGATCAAACTCCGAGAACTCCCTCTCGTTCACACACGTTCCCTCTCCTCCTCCTCCTCCTCCTCCTCCTCCTCCTCCTCCTCCTCCTCCTCCTCCTCCTCCTCCTCCTCCTCCTCCTCCTCCTCCTCCTCCTCCTCCTCCTCCTCCTCCTCCTCCTCCTCCTCCTCCTCCTCCTCCTCCTCCTCCTCCTCCTCCTCCTCCTCCTCCTCCTCCTCCTCCTCCTCCTCCTCCTTCTCCTGGGCAATCTCGTCCACACCCGCTCCCTCTTGCATCAACGGTCCGCTCCAGTGCTCAGACACGCCTCCTTACAGTGGGTGTCCGTTTCGCGCGGCCGCGTGCCCAGCCTGCGCCAGGGCCTCCGCCAGGTTCGCCCCGAAGGCCACGCGCAGGACGCTGTCGTCTCCCTGGTGCATAGCGTAGGCTTTCGACACGGGGTCCTGGCGTTGACACGAGCCTGCTGAGCGCAAGACCCAGACAGCGGGCCTCTCGAAAAAAATCGAGACGGTCGAAAAAAATCGACACAGAGGTTTTTCGTGGTTTTCGGCCTCTCGAGGTCCTCGCGGGGCCTCGGGACCGTCAAAAAACGACTCGGGACGAAAAACCGGTCCCGGGGAAGTGGTCGGGAGGTCGGGGGCCCGTGTCTCGAAAAAATCGAGACGTCGGATGTCTGGGGAGCGATCCTTGGCACGAGTGATCTTTGGTGCGCCGCTTTGGATGGCCGAAAGGTGGGGCCGAATCCGAACGCGCAGGTCAGTGCTGCGGGGACCCGGACGGTTCCGCACCAAAGGTCACTCCAGCGAAGGGCTACTCGTACGCATACAAGACCGCCTTGCGCGGATGCCCCGCGCGATCCGTATACGTCCACTGGACAGAGACAACGAGGGCATGGGCACTGACAGATCCAGGCGGGCGCTTCTAGCACGCCTAGGTTCTATCTTACAGCCCTTGACAAGCTCACAGCTGCATGCATGTGCACCCACACCTGGAATAGGATTTAAAGCGATGACAACAACGCGGACCGAGCAGGGAACCACTACGGACAGTGGTAGAGCGATGACAACTTAACGCAAAGACATGGAAATACGTGGAAGGCAGTGCATGTGATGCACTGCAATAGCAGTGCAGTGTGAGCGTTGCCTTGGGGAACATATTCAACGGCAATGCAAGGGAAGCCAGACCAATGCAAAACATCGCATGGAAACGTATGGCAACTCGAATGCGTGACGCGCAGTCCGAATCAAAGTAAAACATAACAATGTAAAGCAACGCAGTGTGCAGCACACGAACGCTTGGCTCTCTCAAGGTACTCGAACTTCATCTTGATATGCTCTACGGCAGGGTCCCTCCGAGGACAGCTTTAGACGCTCACGGGCATTTCCGAAGCCTTTTCCGGGCCCTGATTGACGCAAGGATGGAGAAGCTCGTAAACGATCACAGCCTGGAGCATTCCTGAAGTTGTTCACTCCATTTGATGAGCTGGGGGGTTTTCTCAGGCTGTGGCCGTCTTGAACGCATGTTTGGAGCCTCTGGGGCACTCATCGCCCATCTTGCTGGTTCCTCGGGAGGTCTGGAAAGCATGTGGGTCTTCTGGCGCGTCCCACAACACGCTCAGACGAGACACTGGGCCTGGCCCCATGAGCCGGGAGCCCCCACCCCAGCAGCCCCAGGAATTCATGCCGACACTATATTGGGACCACCTGGAGGCACCTTCGACGCTCATCGGCTTCTCAAGGAACTTCGTAGAGTCAGTCGTCGACGGACCGAAGAAGTGGACATCCCAGAGATGCCAGAAAACCTGAGTTGCTTGGGTTTTCGATGCATGTCAATCAGCTGGGGTGTCTCTCGGCGCGGGCGGAACAAGAGTGAACCACTGCACTCTTCCCTTTTGGTACAGAGCGGCACGCGACGGCGTCGAAAGATCACAAGCGCATTACGTTCAAGTGCCACGCACGCCATGCGCACCGCGCATGCAACGCACTCCTTCTGAAGAGCATTTATACCCTCCTGGCTTACTCCCGCCACTTTTGGGCCGTGTTGGAGCCTCGTGGGCGCATTTCGGAGGGGCGTACGGGAAGTGGTGCGGCGCCTTTGTGGAGCTGCCTAAGGGTCTCTTGGGACACTGTAGACTCGTTTGGGATGCTTTTTTGAACCGCTTTAAGGCCCTCTTGGGCAACTGGGGGCCGCTCCGGGCCGTCTTAGCGGGCTGTGAGGCGGCCTTGGTGCCCTCCTGGGCTCATCTTGGGCCTTTTCGGGGCCCTCTCGGACCTCCTTGAGTCCCTCCAGGAGCTCTTTGGGGCGTCCTGGGGCTCTCTTGGGGCTCTCTTGGGCATCTTTTTTCCACGCGTCGGTACACTCATTCCGCCTCGCCCACCTCAGAATTCTCGGGCTCGCTCTGAAACATCTGTCCGCTCCTCGTCGTGCAAGCTCGTTGCCAGATGCAAACCAGCCGCAACCATCGTGGTGCATGTCGCAAGGAGTTCTGACACAATGTTTCTGACCACGTGTGCTAACTCATCGTCGAACTACTAATCTACAGCAGGTTCAAGTACTGGCTCACACACAACATAGACAGCAATGTCGTTTGCACCCTCTCGAGCTCAATCGTTCAATTTGCATTGATATCGTTCGGCACGTCTCAAGGCTAGCGTTGATCGGATCAAGCGTGCCAGAAACGCAACAGTCTTCATTGAAGGAATCAAGCAAATCATCTTGCCCGTTCGGCTCCATGCCTGGCCGTGAACAATTAGGGGACCAGTGTGCAGCATTGGCACTGCAGCCCGGCACGACGAATGGGATCAACAGTTCTGGTCAATGACGTCGCAACCAGACCCGATATATCGAATCGAAACCATTCCGACTGCCCGCGTACTGCAACAACCCAACAGTCTTGTCATATCGCCGACGGCAGCGATCGCTCACATCTCGTCGGAGGCAAAGTCTAAACCCGATTGTGCCTGCTTGAGATGAGCCCATTCGATTTCGGGCATGGTACCCCCAAACCATTTTCGTGGGCCTGGCTTCGCTGATGATTTTCTTCAATTCGTTGGGTTGTCTTTTTCCTGGAAATGCCCCGCACAAGAGCCCTGATAGTTGCACTGACACTGGCGGCGTCTGGTTCAAGCTTGGACTGCCACAACTCCAACGCAACCGACAACGTTTGTTGCCACTCCCCCTGGCGACCGCACGCTATGGTGGCACCCGATAAACTGAACTGGTCAGGTTATATTTTCTCTTGCTACGTCTCTCTGAACAGTGACAGTGAAACTTGCCACTTCTGACATGTCCCACACGCCCTGATCGCTGAGTTGTAACGGAGAGTATCTAATTTCACAGAGCCTCACAGAGAAGCCACAGAGCCTGGTCCCACTCCTCGCCCTTCTCGCACGCACTGAGCCCAGCGTTGTAGCTGATGACGTTGGGCTCCTGCTTCGCCTCCCGCATCTTGCTCAACAGCGACAAGGCCTGCTGCCACAGGCTGCCTTTTTCGAGTGCGCTTACCCCAGCATTGTAGCTGATGACGTCGGGGGACACCTTCGCCTCACACATCTCGCTGGAAAGCGCCAGAGCACCTTCCCACTGCTTGCCCTTCTCGCACGCGCTGATCCCAGCGCTGTAGCTTAGATGACGTTGGGAGACACCTTCGCCTCCCGCATCTCGCTGAGCAGCCGAAGAGCCAGCTGCCACTACTTGCCCTTCTCGCACGCGCTGATTCCAGCGCTGTAGCTGAAGATATTGGGCTCCACGGTCACCTTACGCATCTCGCTGAGCAGCCCAAGAGCCAGCTGCCACTGCTCGCCCTTCTCGCACGCGCTGATCCCAGCACTGTAGCTAATGACGTTGGGCGACACCTTCGCCTCCCGCATCTCGCGCAGCAGCGCCAGCGCCGGCTGCCATTGCTCGCCCTTCTCGCACGCGCTGATTCCAGCGTTGTAGCTGAAGATATCGGGCTCCACGGTCACCTCACGCATCTCGCTAAGCAGCCCAAGAGCCAGCTGCCACTGCTTGCCCTTCTCGCACGCGCTGATTCCAGCGCTGTAGCTGAAGATATTGGGCTCCACGGTCGCCTCACACATCTCGCTGAGCAGCCCAAGAGCAAGCTGCCACTTCTTGCCCTTCTCGCACGCGCTGATCCCAGCACTGTAGCTGACTTGGGCTGACCCGCGAACTTCCGGCCGCGGAATCTGCCCGCCATGGAGTGGACGTGGAAGTGGAGCGTCTCTGGGGGCTCGCAGGTAAGAGGAGGTTGGAGGGGTGGAATGAGGAGGTGGCCGCTGGAGGTGGAGGCGAGCGAGGGAAGCAGGCAAGCAGGCCTGAAGGCAGGAACGCGGTAGTGGCGGCGGTGCCAGTGGAAACATACCCATGTAGGCATGACATGGTGTGGACAGAAGCTGTTTCTGACGCCGCAGTCTGTGTTCATCGTAGTTTCTGCGGGGAGGGTAGCCGTGAGAAGTTATCTGCTCTTCGCCGGGGCCGAGTGATAATTTTATCTGGTAGTCTGGTGACAATGGGGCCAGCGGGCGCGGCCTAGGAGGCCCGCAAGAGGGCGGCGAGACGGCCCAAAAGGTCTCCAGGACGGGCCAAGAGGCTTCCCAGACGGCCCCAGAGGGCCCCACGAACTCCCTAAGACGGGCCCCAGAGCGAGGACACGAATCGACCTTTCGAGCGCACCGCCCCAAGACGTCCCAAACTGGCGCAGAAAAGGCCCCCAGAGGGTCCAAGAAGCCCCCAAGACGACGCGGAACTTCGACACTCCCCAGGAGAGTAACATCCAAGGCCTCTTGGGGGCCGTTTGGGGGCCTTTTTTCGTCCTCCTGGGAGTCTCTCGGAGCCCTCTTGGGCAGTCTTGAGTGCCTCTTGGGCCGTCTTGGGGCGATGTGGGGCCGTCTTGGGCGCCTCTTGGACCATCTTGGGGCCGTCTTGAGGCAATCTTGGGCCGATAGTGTGCGCTTTTGGGAATGCTTTGGGTGTTTCTTGGGCCGTCTCGGGCGCCTCTGGAGCCGTTCCGGACGGCCCAGACACCGTCTTGGAGACTGTGCAAACGGAAAAGCTTGGAGACAGGGCGGCGGGGCCCTCTACAGCCGTCTTGGAGACGGGGCGGTGGGGCCGTCGTGAGCCATTATTAGCTGTTTTTGGGGTTGTCTTGGGTGCGTTTTGGGCCGTTTCGGGCGCCCCTGGAGCCGTCCCGGAGCCGTGTGGGGCCGTTTGGGGGCCTTCCTGGGGGCCTCTGGGCGCGTCTTGGGGCGAGTTGGGGGACCTGTATAGCCGTCTGGGGGACCTGTATAGCCGTCTGGACGCTGCGAGGACGAAAAAACAAGATATTGTGAAGACGTGCGTTTCCCGTCGGGACTGGGAGGATTTGGTCCTGTTGGGTCACTCCTGGAAGCCCTCCTGGGCCGTCTTGGGTGCCTCCTGGCCTGCCTTCGGGACCTCTGGGGCTGTTTTGGAGTTCCCATAGGGTGCTCTGAACCCGTCTTGGCGCTCCCTGCAGCCTCTCGGAACCGTCCCGTGGGCCATTATTGGCTACTCTTGGGGTTGTCTTGGGTGCGTTTTGGGCCATCTCGGGCGCCTCCGTTTAAAGCCAATTGGGAGACCCAACCAGATACTTCGCCTAAGCCGAAGTACTAGCGATACTGCGTGAGGTAGGAGGGAGCCGCGTGAGCGGCGAGGGGGCACTGCAAGAGTAAAGGGTGGAACTTTTCCTGTCTCGATGCAAAATAGTGGGCCGCGGTGCGGCCCGGTCAGATTGGCGGCCGGTTGATTGGGCCAACATTTCCGCGAACAAACGCTCGATACCTCTCGCCTTTGTCCTTCCTCCTTCAGGGTCGGGGGGGGGAAACGAAGCGTGACTCCGCTACCAGCCTCATTCAGCTAAACAACAATATTACACAGGAAAGGAAGCAGCCAGCGGGCGAAACCTTAGCAGGTTACCCCGCAGTTTACTAACCCTGGGGCGGCTCAGGTGGTTTCGTCTGGCCAGCCCTAAAGGGAGCGTGTCGTTTCAAATCGTGTTTGAAGGATTGCAGTCGCTCCATGACGTGTAGGAGCATGTATCTGTCAATGGTCCCCTTGGTGTGACCATCTGCCGTCATGTCGCGAGTGTCGCACCACTGCACACAATGCACGATACCGCGTTCCATCACTTGCCGTGCCCAACTGATGTGACCCAAATGGATACACCCAGTCGGTTTCTTCTGGTCTTTTCTTGACAAGGACTTGAAGACGGATTCTGCATCAATGGTCAAAGTGACCTTAATGCTGGGGCCGCCCATCTCAAGCAGATCCTTCAATTGAGCGGGTGTCACCGGCCCTGCGTGGAGTTCGTGTAGCATAACAATCGGGGGATAGCAGACCTCCATGTTACGGGCTGCTGCTAGTGTTTCAACTGAGTAGCTAGAGCGGACCTGCAAGCGGTGAGACTTGCAGTACGCGTCGACAAGATGGACGACAGGCTTACCAGCATGCGTGTGTCCACGCCTTAGAAAGTTTGCCCCGCGAATGCCATGGCTTTTGACCTCGTCATCGGCGTCGCCGTTCAGGCGACGGTAGCCGGAATCGCCACGCAGATCGACCTAGCCCGTTGGTGTCATCACTTGATAAAAGATCTTCTGCGGGCAAGCCTGCAGCTTCCTGATAATCGCGTTGAGTCGTCGTCGCTTGGACGCGCTGCAGTGGTACAACATACACCATGAACCATACTTTGTGATAAGGGCGCAAACTGTCCATCTTCGATGCCTTAGCCTCAGCATCTGCGTTGGTATGTTCGCGGCGCTGCATGGGACGGAGCTGTTTTATAGATCCGTCTTGGTCAAGAGTAACATTGCCGTCGCTGTCCTTGGCATATCTCACAGCACAGTTGGCATGAGCGTGTTTGTTGAGTCTACATGTCCCAAAAGGCATCCCCAACACACATGACGCATTTGTCAATGGTGTCCCCGGTACCAGCCGTATTTGCATCATCAACATGTTTGGCAGTGCGAAAGTTAGGGATCGCCTCGAACTCCTCGTCGTAAGACGCGGGTCTGAGTCCAAAGCCTCTCGTGGTCTTCATGAACTTCAGTGAAAAGGCCCTTGGTGAATATTTGGTACCAGTGCCTGGTTTAAGGCACTGTAGACAGCGTCTTGACTCATCATAGCGCTCGAATCCTGGGAGAGATCTGAGCGATGATGCTGAACCAGGTGGCAAGGTAAAGCACGCAAAGCGTTCCTCTTCACCTCTCGCTTCAGCGAGCTCTTGACGCTCAGTTCAAGAAATCATGTTGATATCAAGGGCAGCGATGATCCATTGTTTCCTGCACGCCGCCGCGCTGGCGAGCAGTCGCTAGCTCGACCGCCGCGCGTTTCCGGAGAACGCTTCTACATCGAAGGCTTACAGGCCCACGAGGCCCCGAAGTACCAGGCGTAACCTGATGGCACGTTCCATCTCGCCCTTTTCGTTCTCGACGAATTTCAATGCGTTTACGTATCTAAGAGAACGCGTTCTCTTTAAGAACGCGTTTCATGGGCGTCTGCCTTGGGGACATTCGGCGGCGCGTTTCAAACCGGGGGGGGCCCCCTCCCAAACACTCGGCGCCGTCGATCACAGCCAGGCAAGCCCCCGCCCCCCCCAAAACCCCCCCCCTTCCGAACCTCCCCTCTCAAGGAGGGGTGGGAGTTCAAACCCCCCCCTCTCGGCGCGGCGCCGGCGCTGGCGGCCGCAAGCAGCGCCCACAGCGGGGACGCAGCGACGATGACCAGAGGCAGCCCAGGGGGGGGGGCCCCCCCTCGGCGCCGGCGCTGGCGGCGGCCAGCAGCGCCGGCGCTGGCGCCGGCGACGGCGGGGACGCAGCGACGATTACCACCACAACCACCACCGCCACCACTACCACCACCACCACCGCCTCAACCCACCACCACCACCACCACCACCACCAACAACAACAACAGCACCACACAACCACCACCACCTCTACAGCCACCACCACCACAAACCACCACCACCGCAATTCACCATCACCACCACCGCCACCACCACCACCACCGCCACAAAAACCCACCACCACTACCACCACCACCACCACAATCTACCACACAACCACCACCACCGCCACAAACACCCCCACTACCAGCAGCACAACCCACCGCCACCACCACAAACCACCACACCACCACAACCACCACCGCCACAAACACCACCGCCACAACCCACCGCCACAAACACCACCGCCACAAACACCACCACCACCCCGTCCACAAACCACCGCCACCACCACAACCCATCACCACCACCACAAACCACCACCACACCACCACAACCACCACCACCACCACCACCACAACTCACCATCACCACCACCACCCAAAAGAAACACCACCACTACCACCACCACCACAATCTACCACACCACCACCACCACAACCACCACCACTACCAGCAGCACAACCCACCACCATCACCACCACCACCACCGCCACCACCACCACCACAAGCACCACCTCAACAAACCACCACCACAACCACAACCCACCACCACCACCACCACAAACCACCACCACACTTCCACCAAACCACCACCACCACCACCACCACAACACACCACCAACACCTCCACCACAAACCACCACCGCCACCACCACCAAACCACCACCACCACCACCACCACCACCGCCACAACCACCACAACCACAACAAACCACCACCACACCGCCACCACCGCCACCACCACCGCCACCACCACCACCACCACAACCCACCACCACCACCCACCACCACCGCAGTCCTCGTCGACGCTCCCCGCCACCGCCGCCCGCCGCCGCAGGCGCAGGCGCCGGCCAAGAAATGGAGATCGTCGCCCCCGCCGCCGTCGCCAGCTGCCGCCGACCCAAGCGCAGCGCCGGTCCGAGGAAGAGGGGAAGCAGGGGGGGAGGAGGGGAGGGGGGGGTTCGAACCCCCCCCCTCCGTCACGAGAGGGGGGGGGTTCTAGCGCCGCCCCCCCCTTCCGTCACGAGAGGGGGAGGGGAAGGGGGGGTCGAAACCCCTTCCCCCCTCCGTCCAGGGGAGGGGGGCTCCAAACCACCCCCCCTCCAAGCGACCACAGAACGCGCTCTTTCGCATCTTAAAATCCTGATGCTCGACGCTTTGGATATGTCCTATGTTTTGAAACACG